TATGTGGTCGCAGCACATAAGGAGTTGCAGCTAGCATAAAACTGCTGCGTGAATAAAAGTGACCCGATTAGCTGCTATGTTCATAGCGTCTCTTGATGCCGACATCTAAGTGTGCTTCTTTGAGTTAATGGAATTGGTATTTTATTCTCAATAACCCTTTTCTTTGTTTCTAATCATCGCCGCGTTTGACTAAAACGGAACAACTGGCTATTTCTGAGTTGTTCCATCAAATTTGCTATGAATTCTTCCTATTTTCTTCCTGTATTTTCCTTGTCAGACGGTTGAAATTGATAGCCAAATATATGATGTAATTGTGCTGAAAGAAGACGCTTTGCTTTTTTAACGAATGCCAGTGAACTGAATTCTAAGTGATTGTCGCAGAATTAATGACTTGCAAAACAAACAGCCCACTCTCAGTTTTAACTTGAATCGGTGCACTGACCAATCATATCGATATTTTAAACAGGCATTTCTAGCCTGGTCAACTCCTTTCTGGTTTTTATAAAGTCGATGTTCAACCATTCCAGAGCTGATCATTAAAATGCAGCACGATATAGAGACGATGCATTGGATGTGCAAACGAAAAATTGAACAAATTCGGTGGTCGTGAAGGTGCAAGCCATGTATTTGACCTAAAGAATCGAGCCTTACACCAATGTTTTGAATCGTCCAACCGAATGTCACAACTAACTCGCCTTGGTTTAAATAAACATGCTCTGAAGTAACGCAAATATTTCACACGCTATGGTTTTCTTCCTGTCGAACCATCAACTAGGGCCTCCTAACTTGAATGACAAGTATTTTTGTAGTCGGTATTGAGATTTTTTATGACAAATAGAGACAAAAATAAACAATAAAAGTTCCATGACACGAAAGCGAAAAAAGCTGAACATGCATCGCAGCGTTAATCGCTCGTGTATTCATCACAATGGCATTTTCCCATGTGGTTTTAAGTTAGCAGTTTAGAATCCGATGACATGACACCATGCAAACTTCTGATGCCTGTGTAAGCACTCGAAATTCCACAATGGAAGGAGACATGTTTGCTTTGATTACAGGTTCCAAACATAAATCAAAAAAATCTGCTTCAAAGTGTCCAACTTTAGTCCCCTGAGCTGCAATCACATGAACGAGTTCAAACCAATCACATATCATCACGGTAGTATCCGTATCTAACATTTCGTCCGACATCGCGTTGACCATGTTCAGGCAAATGAGTCTGTAGATATTTAAACCTGAATGTGGTCAGGCTGACTTGACCCAGGCCTGCAAATTATTGCCTGTTCCTTTTTCATTCTTTGAACCCGGCTGAGTGATCTTTACTCCTAAGCAGGTTGCAGGAGAGACGCTATGTTACGTGCCTAACTGGATCATAATTCGAGCCAACGTAGCTGCCAATATATCACTTAAGATTTTCAGTACATCTTCGTTGGTCTCTGGACGAACTTTGTTGTGTTGTTTCTTTTGCTACAAAATAGGGAAAAATGCAGAAAAATGGGTGCCACCGTGATTAGACTTGGGTAGACCTTAATGCATGGTCTGAAATTGGCATTTTGTTAGGAATATTTGCAGTCAAGTAACTCTGAAACATCAGCTACCAGTTCTCCTGTAAATTTCGCAAATAGCTGATTTGTTACAAAATCAACTAGTGAGCTCCAAGTCCACCTATTCTTAGGTAAAGTGTAACGGTGGCGAGTTGGTTCGGATCAAAGATTTCGTCATGAGTGTTCGCTGAGTGAGAATCATAACTGAGTTGTGAACAGCAATTTGAGGGTAGAAGAACACTTTTCACACTGAACACTGTATCATTTCTGGTAAAACCTCACGAAATTGTATATATAAGCAGGGTTGCTCAACCGCGCTAAGCGTGAGTCGCCAGTGGTTCTGATGGATGAGAACGAGTTGGCGTGGAGAGCATTCAAAGAGTATATAGAATCAATACGGAATGAACAGCGTCGGCGAAATCCTCGAGCACAGGTACCACGTTTTATTCAATTAAACCAACATGAAACACTGCAGACTAACTCAGGAGGACTTAATCCAACAGCAGGGTAAGCATTAATGCATAAAACGTTGTGAGCCATTCAACTAGGTATCCATCTCAACAGTCCTCGTCTGCCCAGTTGCCGGCAACACAGCAGGCGCAGAATTCGGAGGGTAATCCGAGGTCATCTAGAGCGTCTCGACGACAACGTCGAGTGGAAACATATATTTTAAGAAACGCAATCCGAATGAACGCCGAGTTAAATGTGTTCTACAAAACGAGACTCTGTATATATTATGAACGACAGGGCTCATGCATGTTTGGTAGATTTTGTCAGTTTGCTCACGGAATCCATGAACTGCGGCTACCGCAACATCACCCAAGGTATCGCACGAGGGAATGCGTATTTTTCTTGCGAACCGGATTTTGTCCATATGGTGACCAGTGTTTTTTTATCCACTAATTGGCTCTCTACATAATTCGTGTGTTTTACCCGGCATATTCATGGCCGTAACATTGTTTGGTCTCATATGTTTTTGACATTTGTTTAATCCCTCTTAAATGACACACTGATGACAATTTTGATAATCGACTTTTAATAAGGGCAGATGGCCGGCATAGCTGTCCATGCCTTTTTTTCCCATAAATAGGCGCGTTTGAGGATGTGTGTGTAGTAGACAGACATACTACCTGCTGCTATTGGATCATTATTCATACATACCTCCATGCATACACATTTTTATTCCTTTTATTACTAAATGTTTTTGATTGGATACATCGATATCTTGTTTTGACTTACTTTAAGGTTAACCTGGATGGTGAGAATTCGCAACACGTCGTGATGTTTGTTACTGGCTACCATAGCCTAAGAACACGTGAATGATGCTTTAAATGTAACTAGTCTATTATTTTAGTATTTTAACGAGTACGGTCACTTTGCAGGTAGCTCTGCACAATGCGCCATTTTTTTGTGATGGGCATTTTGAACAAAGTTCACGTCGCTCTCTTTGGCCTAAATGAGAATCTAGCCTTCCCCCACTGTCTTAACTCACTCAACTCAATCTCACGACTGACTTACCGTTGTCTGCGTTATCATCCACTCCAGTAATGCACCTTTCCCACAGGCCAGGTTTTCGCCCTGTCGAATCATTAGCCATTGCTCTTTAAGTAGATAGCCGCTGTAGGTATTGTCAGTTTGTCCTAACAACTGGTACTTCGATCAGTCACATATTTGCTGGTCATTGCGGTGATCTAGGGCCATTGAGAGATCTAAATGTACGCCACAGCATAGCCTTGACTTAAAAGGTATAATGAACAAATTAACGGCGTGTGTGCAGAATCGCACTGTAAATACCGGAATGTTCAGTGACAATTGGCCTGTCGTATCCTGAATCTGCAGTGTTAATGGGCACAGTCATAACATGCTGATGAATTTGACAGCATATTCAGGCATGTGAGGTGGCTAAAACCGCTAATTCACATTTTGCATTAATATAGCACTGATTGGAAAGACTGGGAAAAAAAGACTGCGTTTGCGTCATCTCGTGCTACATTGACCACTCATAAGCGAAAACACCCACCCAGATAACGGTACCAGACACCTGTTAACGCTTGAACCGACATTTCCATGCTTAGAATTGAACAAGAACATGACCTGGGCTCGTCAACACAACATGAATTGCGCTAGCCGCATGCGAGTGAGTTGTCGAAAGTGTACGCAAATTCAAGTCACCATTGACCGTGACCTGACGAAAAGCGCAATAAAACACAGGTTAGGAAGCTAGTGCAAGTACTGCCAAGAACTAGCGATAAGCAATCTTCAGATATTGCTGATCCCTAACATAATGTCACTTTTTGATATCGAAATCTAAGTCCTTTAATGTTGTTGCATCAATTGTGTCCAATGATAAAAAATGAATTCTCAAGGTGGTTGTGACTGGTCACGCATTCGTTAGTCCTAAAAGCACCAAATGCCTCAAACATATTTCTTTGGACAAATAAGAGTTTGACCACTACTGCAAGTAACGATTTAGAGCACTCATTGAACCATGTACTCTCACAACGAGCGTTATCTTATCTCTGGGATTGATTTGAAGTTATTGACAAGTGGTAAGTTAGTAGGACTAGTCAGAGTGCCTCGTCTGTTTCAGGTTTAATGTAACTGATGGTAGAGGAAACAGGATGTCATGCTGTTCTAGGAAAATGTTTCCATAATTTTTTTTCAGTTTGCTGGGCTATTTTACGGTCATTGTTGAAAAAAAATGAAATGCTTCCCAAGAAACAAATGCTATTCCTATCGCAGTCATAGTCCTTTTCATAGAACTGAGCCTGAGTAGCAGATATAATCATACACACCCAAAAAATGTGTTAATTTGCAAAATATTCAAAACTGCAAATTGATTGAACGATTTTAACTGCAACCAGCTAAAGTTTAACCGTGTCAATTTACTTTCTAGCATAGAAATAGGGTGATGAATAGCTGGCTGTTTTTGACAATTTTGTGCCTTTTCTACTGCAAGTGTGAGGTGAGGTTGATCAATGAACTTGCTTAGATGAAATCTTTGACCATGCGCAGGCGTAATTAGTAACCTGGACACCATCAGCATGCATTTGGACTTAAATTGAATGTTATAGGACTAACATATTCCAATAGTGCCTTCGCTCGCAACTGGACCCATTTCATTACCTGAGCTGCCACTGTTTCTGAAGGGCACTAAATTGTCGGAAAGATGTTAGTGATTCTTGATTATTCTTTTAATAACCAAAACATCGCAGTCTTATATCTAAATCTACCATTTCGAGGACTGCCAACAGTTATTAACATACATTTGGATATTTGGTCGTACAGGGATAACAAGGGGAATTAGGTCTAATTGAATGGAGTTGGTTACAAATCGGAGAAAAATTCGTGATGTTTTGACACAAGCAGTCCTTCAATGGTCGTGGTACGCGGGAACTCACAAATCTTGTTAAAGCCCTCTGTGTTGACAAGAGTATTTAGAGTCGTGAATATTCTAGCTAAAATCATTGCATGTAGGACATGTTTTATTGCTTACCTTCGTTAGTTTCAAGGACACCAGTTGTTGTAGCTTGGTATTACCTGGTGAGTAGAACTAAAGATATGCCCAAAATATTATTCTATTGATAGAAAATTGTCTTGTTTTGGGATAGACATTGAAAGTCATTGCTCACGAGTTTTATAGGTCATGATCTTAATTGCAAGTTAGGGTCATAACCCAGTATAAATCGACAGAATATAATGCGCATCAAAAACTTGCTGAAATAATAATCTTTCGGTAATGAAATTTTGGCACGTTTCAAAGCACAAGACGACGGTAAGTTCTCGTAATCGCTGTTGGTTTGGTATACGTGTGTTCTGTTTTTTTGTCGTTTGAAGTGTACTCGTTAGGGGCATGATATTTAGTCACGGAGATGTCTTCTTCGTAGTCAACGTGTGTCACATCACATCGTACCCTACTTCGTCGAAGAAATTGCGAAGAGCAAAGCCGTTAAGCAAGCATTGCGCATGATGTCTTCGTTGACATGATTTATTATACAATGCCAATGGTAGTGACACAAGAACAACTGCAAAGAAGCCATCTAGCAGAGAAACTGCCGTCCCCACAAAAACTGCTGAAATGCCAACCCACGAATAGGCGCTGCAAATATTTAGTAAGTACGATTTCCAGATGATGTCAGAACTTACCGTAGCAACATTTTCAACATTCACTATATCTGAACTCTATTTGCACAGCTCTGTCCACGCCACTGCAACTCAGCAGTCAGACTGAATGTTTCTCACGTAATTTAACAGATCAGTCAGTGTTATTCATTCCAGCAATGTATCCAAACAGGTCCTTAATGTCGTTTTTATCGCCATTTGTGTCTAGACCTTTGGCTATGTTAGAAATAAATGTTTCCCAAGGTTGGGTCGTCACCAGCCCCTGAAGACATTGACGACGTGCTGAACACCGACTTTAATTATTTCCACTAGGGTGCTTTCATCGTACTATCATGTATATAGAATAAGCGTCACTAAATAAATAAAGCAGAAGTGCAATCTTACAATTTCTGTAAGTGGTTGCAGCGCATAAGGAGTTGCTGTTGGCATAAAACTGCTACGTTAAAAAAAAGTGACCTGATAAGCTGTTGCGATCATAGCATCTTTTGATGATCGTATCTACATGTACTGCTTTGAGTTCGTTGTATTTGATACCTTATCCACATGTACCTCTTTCTTTCTCTGTAATTATTGGTGCGTTTGACTAGAATTGTACGGCTGGCTTATTCAGAGTTATTCCATCAATTGTGGCCCTAATTCTGTTTATTTTAACGCTGTATTTTCCTTGTGAGACTGTTGAAGACGACAAGCAAATAAATAATGAACTTAGGCTTAAAGAATACGCCTTGCTTCTTTAGCAAACGCCAGTGAACTGCAGCAAGTACAGACTGAAGCCTTGGTTTTTGTCGCATAATTATTGATATACAAGGAGAGCAACACACACTGAGTTTTCACCTGAATCGGTGCACTGACCAATCACAACGTTATTTGAAACAGTTACTTTTTGCCTGGCCAACTCCTATCTAGATTGAATAATGTCGATTTTTGACCGGTCCTGATCTAATCAGAAATATGCAACACGATGTAACGCATAATGCATTGGATGTGCAAACGAAAAATTGCACCAAGTCAGTGGCCTTGAAGGTGCACTCCACCTATTCGTCCTGAAGAAGCTAGCATTCCTGCATTGTTTTGATTCGTTTAACCGAATATCACGAATGACTTGCCGTGGTTTAAATTAACATGCTCTGAAGAAACACACACTATCTACATGCCACGGTTTTCCCCCTGTCGAACCATTAACTAGGCTCTACTATGTTGAAAACCAAGTATTTTTGCAGCAAGTATTAAGAGTTGTCATAGCAGCCATTACTTCAAAAAGTAACATAGGTTCAATGCAATTCAAAAATCAAAAGAATGAACGTGCATCGCAACTTCAATCGCTCGTGAATACACCACTATGGCACATTCCTATGTAGTTTTAAGTTAGTAGTTTAGAAACCGGTAAAATGGAAGCCACAAAATAGGTAGGCTTCTACCATGTCTCACACTCTGCAAACTTATGATGCCTATGAAGGCACGAGACATTCTTCAACCGAAGGGGATCTGTTTGCTTTGACTGCATGTTTCATACATGAATGGAAATCTAGTTCAAAGGGTTCAACCACAACCCCCTGAGCTGCAGTCCCATGAACGATTTTAAACCAATTATATAATATCCCACAAGTATTCGTATCTTGGTAACCATGTTCAGGCAAATGAGTCTGTAACCATTTAAACCTGAATGTGGTCAGGATGACTTGACCCAGGCCTGCAGAGAATTGCATATACGTTGTCTGTTCTCAGAAGCCGGCTGAGTGATCGTTACTCCGAAGCGGGTTGCAGGAGAGATGCCATGTTACGTGAATAACTGCACCATAGATCGAGACAACCTAGCCGGCAATACGTGACTTAACGCTTTCACTGCATCTTCGTCGGTCTGTATTTGAACTTCCTTGTGTAATTTGCTAGAAAATACAAAACAAGGCAGAGAAAGGGTTGCGACCGTGATTAGACCTGGGGCAGACTAAAATGCGTGGGCTGAAATTGGCTTATTGATGGGAATAGCTGCAATCAAGTAACTCTGGAATCTTAGCTAACAAGTCAACTTATAAGCTCCATGTCCGCCTCTTCTTAGGCGAGGTGCAACGGTGGCGAGTTGGTTCAGATCAAAGATTTCGTCATGAGTATTCGCAGAGTGAGAATCATAACTGAGTTGTGAACAGCAATTTGAGGGTAGAAGAACACTTTTCACATTGCAC